ATGAAAATGAAACAGAAACAGCTCAAGCTGCACGACAAATTGAAGAAAACAATTTAATGCGATGGCACTGCAGATATGGTCATTTAAATATTAATGACTTGAAAAATCTATATAAATATGGCACAGTTGATGGAATTATACCGTGGTCAAACGAAGCGAACTTCAAATGTGAAATATGTGACAAATCTAAAATTCATCAGTTGCCATATAGTTCCTCAGTTACAAGGACTAAGGAGACATTAGGTCTAGTCCATTCTGATATCTGTGGTCCGATGCGTACAGCATCACTAGGTGGAGCAAAATACTTTGCCACCTTCATTGACGATAAAACCAGATATACTGAGGTTGTAATGTTAAAGAATCGAGAAGACATTTTTACAGCATTTAAGAATTATAAGCAACGTGTTGAAAAAGAAACTGGCTGTGTGATAAAAGTTATACGAACGGACAATGCCAAGGAATATGTTTCAGCCAAATTCACAGAATTCTTAGAGTCTGAAGGTATAAAAAGACAGTTAAGTGTAGAATACACGCCACAACAAAACGGAGTGGCTAAAAGAGCAAACCGAACACTTGTGGAAATGGCACGATGCCTACTCCAACAAGCATATCTTCCTAAAAGTTTGTGGGCAGAGGCAATAAATACAGCTAATTTTATTAGAAATCGTTGCCCTACAAAAGTATTGAACGATGTGACTCCATATGAAATGTGCACAGGCACGAAGCCAAATGTTAGATTCATGCGAATCTTTGGAAGTAAAGTGATAACTCTGGAGAAAGGACCAAGAAGGTGCAAGTTTGATCCAAAGGGAAAACCATATATTTTGGTGGGATACTCACCTGAGTCTACAGCATATAGACTTTGGTCACCAGGAACGAAAACTGTCATAAAGAGACGCGATGTGAGGTTTCATGAAAAATTGAATGAAGAAAACCAAAGTGACAATAATGAAACTCCAAACGATTCTGCAATATACGATGAAGAGGAATTTGCACACGTCCCTATCAACTTTCCTCCAGATGAAGGTGCTGATATCCAAGAAACATGTTCAGAGGGAGAATCTAGTGAAAACATATCAGAAGAGACGATTCTAAAAAGAGGGCCTGGAAGGCCAAAGAAGATTAAAACAGGAAAGCTTGGAAGACCTAAAAAATGCTATAACACAGTGAAAGATGTAAGAAATCCATCATCGTCAGAACCGCAAACTGTGGAAGACGTTATGGAACGTGAAGATAGAGAATTGTGACTCACCGCCATGGAATCTGAGTATAAGTCTCTAATGGAAAATAACACATGGACATTAGTGAATCGTCCCAAAAATAAAAAGGTGTTGCCAAATCGATGGGTTTTTAAAATAAAGTATAACCAAGACGGCAGTGTCGACCGCTATAAGGCTAGGTTAGTTGCAGGTGGTCATCGACAAAGAAAAGGGGTTGATTATGAGGAGGTTTTTTGCACCAGTTGCAAGACTTGAAACGATTCGATCTCTCCTTGCTGCGTCAGTTGAAAATGCTATGCATGTACATCGAATGGATGTGGTTGCTGCGTACGTTCAGGGAGACCTGTCAGATGAACTATATATGAATCAACCAGAGAACTTTATTGATCCTAAAAATAAAGACAAAGTGTGTTTACTTAACAAACCATTATATGGCCTCAAACAGGCTGGAAGAGAATGGTACAATAAAATCAATGAATGCTTAGAAAATATTGGCTTTAAGAGAACTGAAACTGATCCATGTGTTTATGTGAGCTCTGGTGGAAAATGTAAAATTATCATAATAATATATGTGGATGATCTTGTTACGTCCCGTCTTGCGGGGCGTTTATTATATACTAAATACTATATACGGGATCTGCCGCTTAAAACGCTAAGGCGCACCTTGACCTACCTTTCAAAGATAAGGGGTATAGGATGGGAGACCGGTGATCAAAATACGCGATTGAGGTTATTCGAATGTGTACGTGTATTTTAATTTGGCTTATATTACATACCCTTCGCTGTCTTCGGGTGTTGTCAGCAAATGTTTCTCTTGCACGCGTCGGTCACTCACACAAGAGGTCTCGCTTTACACTTAGTACGCGGATTCGACGAAACACTAAACTCGCGGCGCGTGGCTACGACTCGACCTTGGAAGATGCAAGCGATTAGTGGTGGTCCTGCACAGCACACGGGTGCACTCCTGGAGCTTGTCCTATTATGGGCCTGGAACGTCAGACTTCGGGGATACACTTGTGTTGAACCGTCGGCCGAGCACGTCGTTGATGATCTTCCTGGTTTCGAGTTAGCCAAAACGCGGGTTGCGAACGAGCAGAACTTCGTCTCTGCTTTACGCTATCACGGAACTGGCATACTTGCGTCGCGCCGATAACTTATACTCCCAAAAGGGGAGTAGGTCACGCTCTTTGCTTGTGTCACGTAGAAAGTTCACAGGTTTTTAAATGAATAGCACTTTTAAAGGTTTAGCACTTTATTTTTATAATATGATCCCGACTGACTCTGCTTATGTCCGGTAAGGTCTTTTATAATGTCGTTGGTGGTGGAGAAGGGGCCGATGATTGACAAGGTGGGATGTCCGTGAGAACGCGTCTTATCGAATACTTAAGTAGGTGGTCGTAATATGATGTTTAGGTGTCCAGTCGTGAGGAGTTCAATTGTTCGAATATCGATTGTTTAGGCGGGTGGCCGTAACACGATGTTTGTCCGATCGTGGGAAGAATTCGATTAACGTACGTTTAGGCGGCTCGTCGTAACACTTGCGAAAACCTGCAAGCAAAGGGTTTTCGCCATCGCATTCCGCGAGTTCCCTGATTTCGTATCGCGGGCGTCGCTAAGCGAAAAAACGCTGATGTTTCGCGGATTCCAGAGCAAGACCTCTTTGGAATGGCGAAAGACGAAAATGGGTTATACTTAGGGACGTAACAATCTCATACTTGCATCAAAGGATTTGGATGAAATAATTGCCATAAAAGACATTTTGAGTAAGAAATTTAAAGTGAAAGACTTAGGCATTTTGAGTAACATCCTTGGAATAAATGTTGTAAGAGAAGGTACAACAGGAAGTATGAGACTGACTCAAGAAAAGTATGCAAGTGATTTATTAAAGAAGTATGGTATGGAAAACTCAAAACCTGTTTCAACTCCGATGGAATATGGTCTAAAGCTGACAAAGGATATGAAGCCTCAAACAAGGGAAGAAGAGGAATAAATGAGAAATTGTCCATACAGAGAATTGGTGGGTGGACTTGTTTACTTGGCAAACGCAACAAGGCCTGACTTGTCCTACACAGTAAGTGTTTTGAGCCGTTATTGCTCAAACCCATGTATAATCCACTGGAAAATGGCAAAACGAGCATTAAGATATATTAAGTGATGCTGACTGGGCTGGTGACGTTGAAGACCGGAGATCCTGCTCTGGAACTGTTGTTCTCCTGGCTGGTGGTCCAATCAGCTGGCCAACGAAGAAACAAAAATCTGTTGCAGCTTCAACTATGGAAGCAGAATATGTTGGACTGTCAGAAGTAACCAAAGAAGTTTTATACCTAAGAAGACTATTGAACCATATGTGCTTCGACAATTGCATTGAAGGTGCGACTATTGTGTACTGTGATAATCAGAGTGCAATTAAGCTAAGTTCAAATTGTGTGTATCACAGTAAAAGTAAACATATAGACATTAGGTATCATATTTCGCGAGAAGCACAAGAAAACGGTATTATTAATATACAATATATATCAACAGATTTAATGGTTGCAGATACGTTAACGAAAGCGTTACCTAAAATTAACAATTGTGTTGACATGTTGAATTTAAATAAGTTAAGGTAGCTTATAGGTTATCTTGTCATGGGTTATGTCAACGCGGGCACATCGATAGAGAGAGTGTTGGATATTCGCCCAAATGATTGTGATCGCTGCGCCCTCGGTGTGTATGGGGTGATCGAGAACTTTCTCCGATCGTTAGTCTAGTTCGATCTCACGCATGGCATGCACGTGTACTTGATCTCACTTACATTAAAACCTATTCTAATATATATGCAGTATATATTCTTTCACCCATACCCTTATAACAGAACAAAAATTACGTTTGTTTTTGTTTTTAAATTTAAAATAATGCGCGCGCTACCAGCCATATTTTTCTTTTTAGTAGCCGTACAAATACCGCCTTTTTTTTACTGTATAACCGTTATGTTTACCATTATGTATCGAAGTAGAAAAGCTGCGGGTGTTCTGTATCCTCAACAGACATAAACAGTCGTTGACTGTTTATAACGGTGACGTGGAGCACGCTGTGTACGTACTGTAGGGAATATAGTAGGTTTTTGCAGAGAAAATGGTGATGACCCCCCCCCCCCCCCCCCCCCCCCCCACACCTGTATGCTCCTCCATTCCCAGGCGCCTGTGACTCGCCGTAGATGGTGTAACGAACCGATAAGATTGGGCCCAGGCTGTAGACACTGAATCCTCCCGTGATTCAGCTCCATGATTCACCCAATGACCCCTGAACTCCGGAGTCATACTGTTCCTTGGACCCCGAAGTCATCTCTATGAAGACTGGCCCTTGGACCTGGTATAGGAGGGGGCCTTCCTTTCTACTATATATAAGTACAACATATAAGTCAACTATAAGTCTACGCCACTCTCATTCTTCTTGTACTTTACCCTTTTTGGGCGTCACAACGGCGTCGAGGGAATGATGATGTAGGGGAGGGGACCCCACAAATATACAGTAAAAGCTGGATAAATGCAAGAGAGATTGGGACCCAAACATTGCATATATCCAGCCGAGGTGTCAATTATATGTTGTTTGTTCTATTGTATTATGATTAACACCCTCGTCTGTGGATTTTCTTTGTTCTTCTTCTTCATAACTGGACATAAAACGTGCAATACTTGTATGTAATCTTTTAATGTAAATTCTTCTTCAAGCATTCTTCTGAGATTTAGAAATGACGGGAAGATTATTTTTGCAATGTTTCAGAAGCCTAGGATTTTCATATTTATTAATTACATTTATTAATATGTTGTGTACATTATTTTCATCTATACTGTCATCTTCTTCCAATAATTTTGTAAAATTATCACAAAATTTTGTCGCAGAATCTTCATCAACACTTTCACCTTCTCTTGCACTTATCCAGCTTTTACTGTAAGTCTATGGGCCTCCACCACTTGAGTATAAGCATTTAGACGGAAAAACTTCATGTGATATTTATTTTATTATCTATATTTCTTATTCATATACTAAATTTTATCAAAAAATCACGGTTAATGTTGATATAGGCAAAATTAATATTTTGAGATTACCTGCTTCCCCTGTAACGAAATTTTTCCTAGGGGAGCTTACTTTTCAGGATAATGTACATGTGTATATACATCCAAACTATCGGTGTATTAGTTTTACATTTTTGTTATCTTTAAGGTTATTCCTCCCTGTAGCGTCAATAATAACGCTTGCGGTTCATGTTTAAATGGAATAATGGTTTCCTCGCAAACATCAAGTTTGTGGTTCCTTAGGATTGTTATAATTCCAAGCTTGACTTGATAATTCGCAAAGCGTGCACCTGAAAATAGAAATTAACAATCACGTTATATGTGTACTCGTGCTACAGTGGAATGCGCTTATTATCATTTTGGATTTGAGATTTCTGATAATATGTATTAAATAGAGTGTTGCGTACGCGTTTTATATTCGATTGAACAGATGAACTCGCACTTCGCACGCCGAATTAACCTTGTGCGAATGTTATTCTTCGAAGTGGACTGTATTGGTCGATGATGCAATGACACGTGAGATACTTCAAAAATTCGATTTATTCGTGCTTAATGCTTGTTGTCGTAGAATGATGTCTGGTCTTCGTTGTCGTGTCGTTATGTTTATAACGCTACGCTGTAGTGGTTACAAGAATTCGTGAATGCTGATTGGTTCCTGGAAACGGTAGGGGGTGGTGTCGAAAACTGCTGAATTTGACCATGCATATAAGGGAATTTTCGTCCCTTCCAACGGTCATTCGAAGTTCCTGTCGAAACCCTTGAGTGACCCACACAGGGGTATGAAGGGTCCTATTAATGACCGTAGCAAGTAATAAACCCAAAGTACACCTCGACTTTTGACGAACATCTAGGTAACATCAAAATTATGACTCGGCTTCCAAACTTGGTATAACGTGTTGATAGACAATAAACTAATTTTTGATAAGTAACGGTTCCTTGGACAGGTATTGCTGCTACGGCAACTTATGCTACAAAAGTTTCGCTACGCGACATAGAGGATAAAAAATACTCATTATCGAAGTTAATTTATTGTAAACGATTATGACAATTATGATCCCTATTCACTGCAACAATTTATGTTGAAAAGTTGAAGGGAACGCTTCAAGAAAACATCTACGTAATTACGTATTTTCTAAAAACTTTCATCATGCAAACATGTTTGCGAGTTCACGAGGTCTGCGAGTTCGGAGAATAAATAGAAATAAATACAAAAGTCACAGAATATTTACAAAGAGATCTTAACTATTGAATGCGTGGACACTATAATTTACACTTACTGACTATGATTATGCGTGGGCGATATCAATAGAGTACGGCGCGGTCTGAGACAAATTCGCGTCGCGTGAACAGAGCGAAACTTGTTCTAAATTGCGAGGACGGCGATAACACGTGGTCACGCGTCAAGCGATCGAACAAGAAGAACAAGAATCGCCATACAACATTATTTTTTCATTCGATCTTTAATAAAAGTATCATTACTCTAACAAATTACTCTAAAATTACTCTAAAAGTATTATTACTAAGTAGGTAATGAGACTGAATGTCTGTTGGCATACGGTGCGGTAACAATGTTATGCGAATGGTCGAAACAGATATATCGCAATGTGATCTTGTTAGACAGAGGTGCGAATCACATAGGTAGGAATTCGAGAGACAAAACAGAGTGGGGAAAAGGCAATATAAACACGAGGCGACGAACAGAGCAATCTTTAGTTATGTTACGAATACAGAAGATTTATGGGTAATTATTTAGATTACGGACGGTAACTCCGATTTCGATGATTTTTGAATATGTTGTAGAAATCAACATTTTGAACAACTTTTTCCTATACATATAACCGCCGCTCGGCCTTAGTTTTCGAGTTATTTTCGAAAAACTGTCGAAACTAACACATTGAATTCTGGCCATCCATGTGCGTCCGTGACAACGTACGCATTAGTATGGGATTGCCGCTTTTCTACTGTTTCTGCAAGCAACAGCACGGCGACCGATGACCAATATATACCTTGTGAACTTCTGCATTCATGATTTCAATGTATCGTAGCTATGATGGCAGCTGGGAATTTAATATAGCCTAACCTAACCCAATCTACTCTACCTAATCAGTGAATTAAGTTAGGTTAGGGTAAAGTGATATTCTGGTAGCCTGACGGCGACCAGACACACATACTGAGATTCAAAATCATGAAAATTAGTTAAATTTAATTTTTAAGCCCACCTGTTATATATGAATATATATATTGGTGTCGGTCACCGTGCTGCTGCCTGCAAAAACAATAGAAAAGCGGCGATCGCACACTGACGCGTAAGAAGTATACGGACGCACACGAACAGGCAGAATTCAATGTATTAGTTTCGACAGTTTTTCGAAAATATCTCGAAAACGAACGCCGAGCAGCGGTTATATGTATAGGAAAAAGTTGTTCAAAATGTTAATTTCTACAACATATTCAAAAATCATCGAAATCGGAGTTACCGTCCGTAATCTAAATAATTACCGATTTATGTTAATTTTTGCGTTCGGGAAGAGTGAAGTTTTTTTTGTGTTTAATAGAAAGATTTAGTTGTGATTATTTGTGTTCGAAACCCCCCCGTTAATCGTTCCAATAATCTAAAGCGTCGGCTAATAAGCATCAGACGATAGTTCATTTTCGTAACATACAAAAGTAATGTCTTATTTTGTTGTGCCGTCACAATCTTTACGATGGAGCAACGTTATAATATAAAACGTTGCGTAAAACTGGGAAATACTGCAAGCGAAAAACATGACATGTTAAATGCTCTGCCTCATGCACTGACATTTCGTTGGTTCAAACGTTTTAAAAATGGTAAAAATGATATTGAAAATGATGTCCGAAGTGAACAATCAAGAACGACTTCAAACCCCGAACTACTAAGCAAAGCGAGAGATTTACTTAAAAAGGATGACTCTTTAACACTCCGAAGGATGGCTGATGAGTTGAAAGTAAATAAGGAATCCATAAGATTCCTTCGGCGAGTGTTGCATGACAGTGTGTGTACCTGCACACACATCACTAATTTGGCCTCCGCAAACTTTTTTTTATTTCTACAATTAAAATTGTAATTGAAAAATAAATAATTCCCAACTGTGCTTGATATTCAACAGACTGTAACTGACATTACAAGGCAACTAAAAAAAATTAAAACAGAACAATCTTCTAATTTTTTAAAACAATTATGTGATCGATGTAAACGTTGAATTGAAACGTTGTAACCGAGTTCCGTGGAGATTATTTTGAAGGAAATAAATAAAAAGTCTCCAATGTTATGTATTAGTGTTCTGTATTTTTTCACTAGCCTCATTACTTACTTTCTTGGCGTATTGTGTATTCTTATTTATGATACCAAGTGTTTAATGGATCACATATGTTCCACATGATTTAGATAGAACAAAAGTTAATTCACATTTAGTAAACACATGCAGTAGTAGGCATATATATATGTAGACGAAGCTATAAAATATACTAGCTCAACGGAGGAATAAAAATCGCGGTAAGGAGGTGAATTTTAGGGTTGCCAGAGGAACGCAAACATAGACATTCGAACCATTCAGCAACGGTTCACAGATGGCACTTATATCTATTTTTAGCGATGTTACCATTTTTCTGTGTTCTCGCGCAAGCATGTTTTCAGTTAAGTGGCAGACCCTGCAGATGTGCAGGGTGATCCTCTCGCTAGTGGACCCAAAAGAAAGTGCCGCAACAATAGAACGAAAGAGTCGACATCCCATTTCTGCCATCGCTTACTTGACGGAGGTGACCCATGCAGCGAAAATGACTGTGTTCGTGAAAATGTGTGTACAGAGCAGAAGAGTCTCATTTAAACGCTGCGGAAAACAGAATATGTTCTTAACATATTTTCACGCACACAGCCGTCTCCGCTGCAGGGGCCACCTCCGTCAAGTAAACGATGACAGAAATGGGATGTCGACTTCTTCATTCTATTGTTGCGGCATTTCCTTTTGGGTCCACTAGCGAAAGGACTACCCTGTATGAGTAATAATTGGAAATTATTAAAAAAGGTTAATTTAGTCATAAAAGCGTTAAGCGAAATAACCAATATCAAATAACTTATATTTTGGAAATGATGTTACAAATTACAAAATGATTAAAAGTTTTTCGTTATACTGTAATGTTAATAATGCACTCTTTTTTTGATATCCTGTTTATATTATTTTCGTACATTAATGTATACAGTAAATTATATATAATATTAATACTGTTTTTATTATTGGAAAGATCTTTTAAATACTGTTAGAATATTAAAATTTTCCATACCAATACAAATTCTTGGGCCATCACCAAATGCCAGGAAACTCATGGAGTGTCTGTTGGCAACCGCTTCCTCAGTGAATCTCTCAGGATCAAATCTATCAGGATCTGGGTAAATATTTGGATCTCGATGGATCCCAAATGTTGGTATCCAAACTTTTGTACCTTTTGGTATGGTAATTTTTGTACCATTAAACGTGTAGTTCTTTAATGCTTCCCGCGGTAACATAGGTAATATTGGATATTTTCTCAATGTTTCTGTATAAAAGGACAATAGGTTGAAAATTATGTAAAATTAATAAAATTTAATATAAAAGTATTTTTGGTCATATGTGATTGCTTTATTGAATAATATATACCTTTAAATACTTTTTCCAAATATTTCATTTCTTTAATTTGATCGTACGTTAAAGTTTTTCCATATTTTTCATCATGCTGTTTTATTTCTTTCCGTAATTTATCCTGTATTTCATGATTTTGCGCTAATTCGTAAAGAGTATGGGATATAGTCGTCGAAGAGGTTTCGAATCCAGCCAAGAATAAGATCAATGCTTGAGCGGTGAGGAACTCATCTGTCAATTCTGTAAAATGTAATAACGTTTTGTTTGTTCACTTGCTCCCTGTTACACTTGCGATCGAATCAGATTTTCCTAGGGAAAATGGCGGTAGAAGGAAAGCAGGAAATTTCAAAATTTTATTCTTTACGATATTAATAAATGATTTTGAAAACAAAATTAATCTGTAATTATTAAATATTATAAAATTTAGGGTATAACTGAAAAGTATGAATAACAAAATAAATATTTATTCAAACTTTTCTGTGTAGACGTTTATACGTACATAAGTGGTGAGAGACCGCACTTATACATAGTTATTATTAGTTAATGTTATTTACTTTTCAAAATAATCTAACAATCAAACATCAAAAAACAAACAACGTATAAGCGCCATTTCAACTTGTCCTTTATAAATAATTTCATGAATATTAGTCTGTGATGTAACTGCCCCATATGGTTTTTCGAAAGATATGAACAGAGTTTCTACAGCGCCTCGTAAAGGTGTTGTTCTTTCTAGATATGAACCTAGAGCAGAGGCAACGCAAAGCTTACTGTTTTCTAAAAAGAAAGTCAAGATAAGGACTGGTTGTTTTCTTTTCGAGCCTGTAGTCTTAATTCCACTGGGAATCTTAATCTCGTATATACCCTGTATTTTCTTAATATCGTTGATATTAATATAGGTTTTATTAATTCTACGTACTTAAACTAATTGTAAACGGTAAAACTAGGTAAACTATGGATGAAACGGGTTCGTCGCGGATTCGTCGCGGATTCGTCGCAAATTCGTCGCAGGGCATAGCGACGCTAGAATCGTGGAACGTGGGACAAATTTTTACCCTCTCCACTACGTCCAAGTGACTCCCCTACTTCAGTTGTTTCATCTAACACAAGCGTGTTGTCCCACGTGTCCATGTGAGCTCACCGTTCGGCTGCTTTTGTCATTTCTACGTTATCTGCACGATATTCAAGCCACCTAAGCATGTGGCAGTAGTCCATGGCACTATGGTAGAAGTGAAGAACCAGGAGATTCAGTTCGAATCCCGATTCTACGGTTTCAGTTCTGATTCTTAATACATTAACATTTTTTTAATACATAACAATACATTTTTAATACATTAATACTTTGACGTACATTAACTTGGGAAGCAGTTAAAAAAAGGAGTTGAACTACTTCCTTTATTGATCATTTTTAATATTTAAGTTTTATATATATACATATGTATGTACGTTCATATGATAAAAATACGTGATACAGAAGTGATTTCTTCAATTAGATATTACTGTTATTCTATTTATTACAATACGTAAATGCGAAGACATACGAGGAAAATAGATTAGGATAGAATGTCTCACTTCTACCATAGTGCCATGGACGAGATTATAGTAAAACCTGGATAAATTCAACCAAGATTGGGACCCAGTGGTTGTGTTTACCTAAGCGCGGTATCGAATCTCGGGTGAGACGCGACGACCAGCCAAGCGTGAACGTAGAAAGGGACAGACAGTGGTGGAAAGAGAGAGGTCCGATAATCAAAGGAAAGAGCCGAAACGTATCGGTGTGGCTAATACTAATTGAATCAAAAAACTTTTTCATTTTTCACTTTTTTTTAGTGAAACTTTTACTAGCGGATTGGTGAGATTTTTGTGATTAGAGTGGTACAAAACACGAAATAGTTTCAATTATAATTACTTGCTAAAATTGATGTTAAAGGTTGGCGAAAAGCAAGAGAGATCGAAATCAAAACCAGTCGCGGTGTCGGCTTTGGTTTCAAAGGTTTCATTTATCCTAGCGAGGTGTCGATTCTGGGCATTTAATGTTTCATTTATTCAAGCAAGGAGTCGATTCCGGGCATTTAATGTTTCATTTATCCAAGCGAGGTTACGATTCTGAATCCGTACACACGTTTTCTATTCAGCCGACATGCCGATTCTGTGTCCGCACACATCTTTTGTATTCAGCCGACATCATTTATATTCAGTCGTGGTGTCAATTCTATGTTGTTTATTCTATTACTATTGTTTATAAATATAATTCAACCTATATCGAGTTTGGTATCATTTTAATCAGAAAAATCTCACAAATGCGTTAGTAAAAGTTTCATTGAGAAAAGGTTAAAAATAAAAAGGTTTTATCGTTGAATTAGTATTAATCACACCAATAATACGGTAGGATCATATTACACGTTTCCTGGTCGAGCGGCTTGGTTCGCCTAGGGGGATCCCCCCAAGTGGAGGGGATAGCGATGTTTCACTTATCCAAGCATTCTTTCGTTGAATTTATCCAGGTTTTACTGTATATTATTTTATCGATTCGTCGATGCTGCTGCCACATGGTTAGGCGGCTTGAGCATCGAGCCGATAACGTAGAAATGACCAGAGCTCACACGGACACGTGGGACAACACGCTTGTGTTAGATGAAACAACTGAAGTAGGGGAGTCACTGGGACGTCGTGGAGAGGGTAAAAATTTGTCTCACGTCCCACGGTTCTGGCATTACTGCATACATCAGCTATTAGTATGGGACCGCCACTTTTCTACTCTTTCTACAGGTAACAGCACGGTGACCGATGACCAATATATACCTTGTGTACTTCTGTGTTCATGATTTCAACGTATCGTAGATATGATGGCAGCCGGGAATTCATGTATTCATATTTTTGAACACACAAGTTTACAAACTCTGGTAATAATGAAATAAATATATACATTCCTCTAACTTCAACTACATCATTTATTGTTAAAATTAAATTCTTTCATGACAGTCGGGCACTATTTACTCTATAGCTGTTATTTTATGAATACTGCAAAAAAAAACATTTGACCCGAAACTTTTGATTGCCACTGTATATTCTTGTGCTAAAACGAAAAGATTAGCGATAGATTCAGACTTTCGAATCGAGAACACATTTGTCGTTGTTTCAACCTCTTCTTTTACGAAGTTCAGTTTGTTGAGCCAGCGTGTCTCCGCTAATAAACCATATTATTAGAACTTGGTGTAACTCATTCACACGAATCCCAACACTTTCAATTTTTAACAAATATTTCTATTTAAGTGAGTCAACAAACTGGCATGTAGAAATTTATACTAGCCGTAATTATATAAGTATGCATAATAATGGGGGCACATATATACTAATCAACGCATTAAAGAATACTTAAGGAGATTGTGATTATTTTGTTAAATAAGATTATGTTCCAAAAGAAGATCGCTTATATTTTGTATTATGAATCCAAATACTCACCAACAGCTGGCAGCTTTTCAGGGTGTTCTCGAAGTTCCATGAGTGTGTTAATAAAATCTGGTCTATATATATTATTTTCTTTCCTGTATCTCATACTATCAGATACCATGTTTGTAAAAAATTCGTTCACTCCAACAGCTTGAATATAATTTCCAATCAAAACGTATAGTCGAGGGAAAAACTGCCTTATTATAGCTCTAACTGTCGTTCGAAAACATGGTTCTAAAATTCTTCTGCCCATTTCACGGAATTTACTATTTTCGTCCGAGAGAGCATTTGTAACAATCCCAAAGACACAGTTACCGATTACATCGGTAGTGAATTTTGCAGCTAATTCGCGACATTCTATTGGTTCTTGTTTCTCTAGCCGTTTGTCCAGGTATTCTTCCAAATGTTGCGCACAGTCTATTATAAGAGGAAACATCTCTTTCAGTTTGCCGGAAGTAAAAGTTGGTGAAAGTTTTGTCCTCAGTGGTTTCCATCTTTCGGATTCCAGGAAGAAGAGATGTTCCGCTAATGGTTCTACCTATGAATACAATCCTTTAGCATTTACAGTAAACTCTCGTCATATTGCCACGTGAGTGGTTTGGTGTTCACATGGACTTTAAAACATACAAGTGCCACTATTCTACCATCATAATCTATGAAAATGATACATTTCTATCTTTCCTCCTATCTTTTAAATGAGAGCTTGGAAGCTTGAAAAATTTTTTACTCCTACGGTCTCGCCGACAACGATACGGTAAGGTTTTACTGTAGTTATAATTGTAGTTCAGTGGCGCAACCATAAATACAAAAGGACTTAAAAATTTTTCTTTCATAACTTATTAATACTGTGATAACGTTAAGTATAATTTTCTTTACTTTTGCTAATACCCGGCAAAGTTTGGCGAAATTAAAAATATTCTGGTTTTTAATTTTTTTGGGGGGGAGGGGGGGGGGGCCTGTTGAACCCATTAGTTACGCCACTGTTGCAATTCATAGTATTATTTAATCCGACGATCATGTGGGTCTCATAGACCCCATTTAAGAATTCAAGTGATTACGAAACTATACGCAATGTAAGATTAAGTAGTTATTTACATTATTATTAAATAGTATTAAAATAAATTAAATACAAGATATAGTAACATTTGGACACCTTTTTATCCTTATAATTGTTAAACGAAAGAGTTTCATATAGTGAGAGAACAATTTTTAAAGAAACAGTATATAATTTAAAAAATAAAAAATATGAATTACGAAATTGAATTCAGATTGGAACTCGCTCCATGGTCCGTCGTACGAATAATTAAAAACTCGTTGATACAAGTTGATTCATGTCATCCAATGCGTATTAAAAGTTTAGATACACACTACTTTTCACCAAAACTAAATCTGTAATTATTAAGTTTTTCTGTCAAAAGTAAGTTACATTTATCTAATATGGTTACTTTGTTGTGTAAAACGAAGAAATACAAGCAATTGTAAATTCTAATCTCGAAATTTTATTACTTACATTTACTGATCTATTCATCATAGTCATTCGATTAGATTAAATACCACAACGTCATCTATTGAAATAACTGATTACTGATTAGAACGACTTTTGTACCTTTTTATAATAAGGTAGTCCTCGATCTGCAAATATAGGGAAATCCTTAACAAGAACATCTTTGATCAAATCCAAATCATTGACAATCAAAGTAGGGGTTGTTGCTTCAAATATTCCAAACAATGGTTCATGTTTGAATTCGTCATATAGTCTCTTCACTGACTCACTCATCGATTCCTTTCGAAAGGCTATTTCTTTCAAATTTCCAAAAAGTATTGTCGGTGCTGGTCCAGGTATGTTAAGTTTCTTCCAAAAATCATAGTTAGAAGTGAGATGGTAATAGAGATAAAGAAGCACTATAGCGATGCCGCAGAGTATTTGGAAATATTCTATCATGTTGTTCCAAATTTTCTAAACAGATCTTGAACAAGTAAAAGCTGGTTATTAATCCAAGTAATACAGGGTGTTCGACAACAGGTGGGCAATATTTTAAGGGGTGATTCTAGGGATCAAAATAAGACGAAAATCAAGAATAACGAAATAGCGTTTACGGCTTTGTTTTCCAGTCATTAACGTTTAAAAATTCGAGTAAAAAGCGCCAGAAACCTGCAATCCGCTCAGCACAGACGACCGAACGTCACGTCGGCAGGGGTCGGTACAGTCATAACCAAGAATCGAAACCGAATACTGCAGTACCGAGAAACAGAATAGCACGAGGTAAGTTTCTACCATTCAACGATTCTTGGTTATGCCTATATCGGTAAACCCTATTTCGTTATTCTTGATTTTCGTCTTATTTTGATCCCTAGAATCACCCTTTAAAATATTGCCCACCTGTTGTCGAATACCCTGTATGGTAGGGTAGGATATGATCCTGTCAACATTAAAGCTATAGTTTCTCTTCTTAAAAATGGCAAGGCAGTTTTGAGTAGAGAATCAAGTGTAGAGAATAAGATTTAAAGAACTGTTTATTCCTTTTGAATACAAGGAATACTTTAACAGATATGTGCAAAATAAAAGTGAAAATGCTATTGTCTATACATTAAAAACTGCTATAAAATATATACCCTATACAGTAATGTCTCTCACACTGCCCCTTAGCTCGGAATCGAAATGGGACAACTTCGGAAGAATAGAATCGATTTTTGAGCCTGGCAGCTCCCTTTTGTAGTTTGCCGAACAAAGAAAAGGGCAGCAAATAAAACAGAAGGACAGCATGATGCATAAACTTTTTTAATATGCAATTACTAATATCATATTAGTGAGATTTTTGTGATTAATATCAGACCAAACACGATATAATTTGGACCACGTTTACTTATTAATACCTATTAGGTAATTCATTTCATTATCGCTTTAAGTGAATTACAAAAGCGGATTTCTAGAAGAAATACACAAAATATTCGTACACATTACATGTCGAATACGTAAGTTGTGTCCGTGCAATGTGGAAACAGCTTACATTCGAGGGACAACGTGGTGATATAGCCTACGTTTCACGGACAATGTGAGGAAAAGAGTAACATTCCCGGGATAACACAGTCCAACAAAGGGTCTAGCCGTATAAGCATAGTTAATTTTTTTTAATCAAAATTTGGATATCACAGTTTAATAAGAAATCATCTGTCTATTTTTGTAGCTCATTAAAATTCTTATTGCCCGCGCACGTATTAACAGTAATATACAAATTAAGATTTATACTGCTTAACAGGACTAATGGCCGAATTACATATATTTAACGTCAATGTTTACGTGGAGTAATCATATTCAAAGGAAAAAAGTGAATAATGTTTTAATGGTCGTCTACAAATCACACATATAAACATGTACGTAATCGGAGACAGACTGGTAAAGAGCTATTTAGCTATTAAAGGATACCGTGAGTATACGAATTTTGCGTAGTTACGGCACTGGCGCGGCGAGTAGGCACACAATGGCCGCATTCTTGGTCAACCAATCTTGATCAACCAAGATCCAAACTTACAAAACATGTACAGTGAAACCTCGATAACTCAAACCTCAAGGGAAGGGACAAAATGTTCCAGTTATAGAGATTTCGACTTATCGAGTTTTCAAGTAAGAGAGGTTCGATGAAAGAAATTTCGACTTATAGAGGTTGATAAAGTGCTAACGGGAATCTTGAACTCTTCAGAAATATCCTTTTTCTTTTTTAATCCAGTTTTAACTGATTCGATCATATTTACTTTATCAGCCAATGTTAATGTGTTTAACTTTCGTATCGTATTCATTTTGTGAATATAAAGCCGTAGAAAAGAAAAACAAGTGACAGAATTGTTTTAATGTATTCTTCCAAACTTTAGCATTGCATTCTTTTTATGATAAAGAAACGTGCCATTTTCACTTTATCAAGTGACTTCCCTGTTTCACTTATCGTTAATAAAGGAATATACAGTTGACGATCACAAAACCGTTAAATCTATAGGATCGATGAACTGATATATATATTATGTATAGAAGTATACTTCGACTTGTAGAGGTTATGGTTCTCCGAAATTCGAGTTGTAGAGGTAAAACAAGGTCGGATCAGTTTGCACGCCAGGTGCACGCATAAACTCCGTGGATTCCTAGATAGCTGTGTCTTTGTTAATTATTAGTTTTTGCCCCAAAATCCACTTATTCACTATATATATTATATATATGCAAACTGATCCGACCTTGTTTACTTTTAAAACCATGTGCCAATGTCAGCTATATATATATATATATTGAATAAGTGGATTTTGGGGCAAAAACTAATAATCAACAAAGACTCGCAAGGGAACATCGGGGACTGATACACTCCGATTTTTATCAAACTTTGCATAAATATTTATTAGACCTGTTTATGAAGATAACTGTAATTCGTTGGTGCCCGTTTTTCACTTTGAGGGAGATATCAACCCTTTTATCCAAACCGCCCTTCCTATATACGAGTTTATAAATCGTAAACAACAAAAGATATAAAAAAATAGTTGAAATAAAAATTATACCGTTTCTTGAGGTCTATAAAGCTGCGTGTAAGTTTTTTTTTTAAATCATCCGTTTTGCAAAATTGAATTCCCCCTCCCCCTCCGTTTTGAAAAACTACTTTTTTTTCAATCAATAAAAGCACCTATTTATTATGAATTCAACGATGTATTATGGTGTATAGTTGATTTAATTTTTCCGATGGAATTTTTGATTTAAGTTTTTTGATCTGTCTGTATTGACCGCTAACTCAACTTATACTTGCAACGTTGATAAGATCTTTGATAAGAACCATTTTACCCTCCGCTTTACATGTCATTTTCATAATTGCAAGATTAATGTCATCATCATATGATGAAGTACATTTATTTTGTAGACTTTTTACAATATACAGAGTACTTCCGATGTAGTAGTACAATTGAAAATGTAGAGTAAGAGTTTTTGATACAGTAACACTCATTCATCCATACTGTGTTCGTTAAATCCGCTCCTATACATATTTCGCTTATTCTGACTTTAATTTTTATTATAATATAATATTATTGTACATGTATGTAACAACCAATATTATTCGACATAGCTTTTACAGTAATGAAATTCTTCAAAAAAGTGTTTGAAACATAAATATTTTTTACACCAAGCACAACGGAGTATAGCTAATTCTCCGTATATATCGCACCGATGAATTTTGTTAACCTGTTTTGTAAAACAATAATCGACTGGATTTTCATAGCGTGCCGAACGTTCTTGTATATATCCACTTTTGTACTACGAATGTTTAAACAAATTTTGGAATCTAGGTGAAGACAACTGATTATGTACAAGAGATTGGAGTTTTATGATATTATTTTGTTGATGTAAAATAACGTCATGATTCAATAAAATGACCTAATCGGAAAAAGTTTTTATGAAATTTTTCCATATTCGAAAACCAAGTATATGGAAACTTCTTTTCCTTCAGGAACAAGATCTTGCAAAACATTGGGCAGTGTCCACTCCATGAATCTAGTAGGAGAACGCTTCGGGATCCCATGATTATTAAAAATATTTCAGTAAACCAAGTTTTAAAGTGCTCTAAAGTTAATTTGCCAGATTTTGAAGCAGAAACATGAACATTTGGAGCATTGAATAAACTTTCTTTTACTCTTGGTCCGAACTATCCGCTTGATTCCTATAAAATTATGTAAAGCGGTGAAAGCAATTTTCCATTTGCAGATACAGTAGGTTGTATGGTATAACTATGAATGGTTGATGATATGGACTGTACGACAGCTTCAATGGTTTTTGATCCCTTTGCAGCTAGCGTTCGACCAGAACGAAGTTCTAAATTAAAACCACTTTCGTCTGAATTAAATACATTTTCTATACTATAACTATTAATATTCGGTTTCACAACTTGAATAAAATTATCGATAACTGTATCTATTTCTTGAGAATTTTCACGTTCCCGGTAAGTTACAAATTTTGTTATTTTAAGCGAACTACAAAATAAAAAGAAAAAGAAAAAGATAAAATGTTGGAAAATTATGAAAATATATTTATAGTTATATTATTATTTCTTTTCTTTCTTTGAGAACGGTATTAGCGCTGCCACCAGTCCTAATCGCTTGTGACGATGTTAGATCACTCACGATTAGAACAATAAAGAATCGGTATGATTAATTGATAGATTAATTAATAGATTAATTGAGTCCGTCAATGCTCTAGTCCCATACGGGCCCCTTGTATGAATTTGTGCGAAGATGGTAGGCGTGAACGTGAAGGAAAAAGGAAGTGTTTTTGAAACGCAAATGAATTAAACTAGTTAGGTGTAACAAAAATATAATTTCGGAAAATAAGCGTGACAATAAAAGTGGTTAGTTAAGGAAGTACGAGCTGCTTGAAATACAAAAGAAAATATATATATATATTACAAAGAAAAGTATAAAGTTATATAAAAAAAACGAAACTATTGATTATTGGTTAGTTAAGATTTTGATTCGATGATTCGAGCGACGATGTTCTGTGAACGCTTATACGCGAAAAAGGAAAAGAGAGAACGGTCCCAGGGGGAAATTACCAGAACGACGCACAGTGGCGAATTTGCCCGAATTCGTGGCCAAAAGTGAAAAAATTTTTTTTGCGAATTTGAAAAATCTTTGTAGGGTATTTCATTTATGAATTATCAGAGCATATTTCCCCCCTATTGCCAATCTTTTATATGTAATTCTGTTAGAGATATACGAGTTCAAAGTTGGCATTTTTGTAACGTCAGTTTTTTCGACCATAATTAAAAGTAGCTTAGTGATTTATTATCGGGCTATGATGCTAGTTTATCAGTATTGATGTAAACTAGCATGTTCTTAGTTAATATACATCCCAGTGTTATTACGTTTTCTTAATTATTAAAGGTACGATAGATAAGAATACAAGACCTATACATTTTTCTACTTGATTAATAAAAAAGTTGTCCAT